GTCCAGCCGATGTCGTGGAGGAGGCAGGTGTGATAGAGCCGGCGGTTGAGCTCCTCGAATGTAATCTGCGGGACGCCCGGGGTTCCGGACGGGAACCCGTTGTAGAGGAGAGCAAGCGAGAAGTAATAGCATCGGATGGAGTGGATAAATCCGTAGTGGGGGGTGATCTTCTTGGAGAATTCGAAGGACGCTGCGTGCGCTGGGTCGAGCGGGACAGCGCGGAGAGTCTCGAACGCCACATAGTCCGGCTTGAACGTAGCCAGAGCGAGGAACTCCTGGTAGCTGCTGGGTACGAAGGCGTCGTATGTCTTAGCGAAAGGCATTTTGTTGATCTTTCAACATTGTCGCGACCTAGTATATATACTTCCTATACAACTACTCAAAAAAAAGCCATCGAGTAATATTCTGCTTATGGACACTGGGCAACACGGGCATCGGGGACCTCTTAAATCGCCTGATTATCATTGTGTGTCCCAGTTCTACAGAATACACGCACCGTTCCTGCCCGCGGGATTATTCATTGAGCGGTATGTTCGTGCCATCACACTGTGTAGCGTTCGATTGAGGGTGCAAGCCCTAACCGTGGGAAGCAAGTCGGCTGTTCGGTGGACCTGAGAACGGATCAGATTGTTAACTAACATGCAATCCGAATGCCGAATAGACGCGTATACCTTCCGAGGAGACGTGTGCCTCCACATCCGACCCGTCTGACAATTGCTTTTCAATGGAACGCCGCAGTTCGCCGTAGGGTGGAGCCATTGGATCAGGCGAGCGAGGCCTGCCGACGCCACTAGACACCTCTCAGCGCGGAATTTTTGGAGGCCCATGGGATTGCGAATCCGTGAATAACCGGTCAAAACGAGAGTCATTAGTGGAGAGAGGCCAAACTCCAGAGTATTTCACGACGTCTTGCGACAATACATCGGAGCCTGTCAGCTTAGAGAGCCTTGTCCTTCCGACGTTGTTGCTATCAGTGACGAGCGCCTAGCATCCGGCTGAGTTAGCAGAGACTTAGACAGAGTTGAGTCTAATGTCACATATGATCCATCATCTTTGGCCCGCTCGTCCGGGACTAGTCGGAAGTGCTCTCGAAATTTTTGAATCCTGTTGCGCATATCTACAGCCTTCTCCTCCCATGAACTTGCAGCGTTGAGACAGATAAATGGTCCCGCTGGGTATTCCTGTTTAAGGGCATGAAGATCGGCAAGGGCCTCAGCAGTTGTGGGACGTTCGTGTGGAGCCGTGAGGGTCATTCTTTCCGCCAATGGCGCAAGAAAATCCAGCCCCAAGTACTTTCAAAGTACTTCTATATAAAACTAATTAGCATACACAGACGAGTGAATTTGCCCCGGACCTGGATGAACTGCTAGCGAATCATGCTCCCAAACTGATAAATGTCAAGCTTGTACGGATCGTATGGCCGACCCGACTTGAACTCGGGCACGGTTTTTCATACCTCACTGCTTCACTGCTGCTTGCGAGGGAGCTTTCCGCCATCGGTAAGCACCCAACTAGCAGGACTGTCGTGTGTGCGTCGACGATGAGGGGGTGAGGATGACGGGGGGAATCGGCGGCGACGGAAGAAAGAGAAGTGATCAGCCCCAATCGGCAATCAAACACGGAGTTGCCGAATGCTGACAATGTTGCGACTCGCCTGAACGCTCCAGTCGGGAGCATTTCGGCGACAGGGTTGCAGAATTCATAGGTGAGTCTGAGTTTGACAGTGTTGTTGTTAACATCCCCTGTCCTGCTCGTCACGGTCCCGCGCGGATATTACCAAGTTCCCGTGCGCGCTGGCTTCCGCGCTTTCGACAGCTTTCGACCCACAATTTTCCCCACCATGCGGACGTTCGTCCTCCAACAAAAGGCTCGGCGAGTGGTCAACCAGCCAAGTCCTGTCCGAACGCTCAGTATCTCACGGTGACTCGCCGCCTCTACGTCCTCTGGTGGCTCCAGCACCGCCCGCGATTCGGATAAGCGACGATGCGTCCGACCTGCGCTTCTTGATCTATCTACCCATCCCTCAAGCACACTTCAGAAATAGCTTGCCCACTCTTGTGTTTATACCCCGCTGAGTAGGCGATGCCCACAGTTCTCAGAGTGGACTCTTGACGCGCGCTATCACGCTGATCATCGCGGCTGGTATGTAGTCTCTCGTAGACAGACGCTTCAACAGATGAAGCTCGTACCTCGCTTGTTGAAGTCTGTTGTTTACCGCGGGGGTTAGCTCTTTCTCCACGAATCTATACGTCGCTTCGGGTTTAGCTCGCTCGGGGATATCGATCCAAGTAAAAATCGCATCACCGCTCGTCCCACTTCCGTTACAACACGTGCCTCTGGCGGGGCGTCGGCCTCAGCCTCGGGATTTCTCATTATGAGGTATTTTCGCTGAACGGTGCTCTTTCTTGCTGATATCCAACCAAATTCAGTTGCTAGGATATAAATACCTTGAAAGGTGAATCAACACTGGGTACCGTGACTATCAAGTATTCCTAAGCCTTAGAGCCGCAAATTACTCATGGTGCTCGTGCAGCGAACCCACCAGGTAGACACAGAGAGTATATACAGGTTTCCGACGTTCTTCAGAGTCCAACAAAATGCCTTTCGCCACAACATACGACGCCTTCGTACCAAGCAGCTACCAGCTGCAAGACTTCATCACTCTGGGGAATTTCACGCCGGACTACGTGCCGTTCGAGGCGCTCCGCGCCGTCCCCCTCGACGCCGCCCACACAGCGACCTACCAATTTTCCAAGAAGCTCACCCCGCACTATGCGTTCCTCCACGCAATCCGGTGCTTCTACTTTGCACTCGCCCTCCTATACAACGGGTTCACCTCCGGGACCCCGAGCGTCCCGCAGATCGCGTTCGAAGAGCTCGCCGGGCGTCTCTACCACGCCTCTCTCCTCCACGACCTCGGCTGGTCTTCGACTCCAGAGGCCCGCGCGCACCCGGCGCGCGCGATGACGTTCGAGCTCCATGGCGGGTTCATGGCGTACGAGCATCTGCACGCGACGGCGCCCGCGCTCGACGCGCACCAGGTTGGCGACATCGTCGAGAGCATCGCGTTGCATACGTCGCTCTGGCCATCCGGCACGTCGTCCGCGACGAAGACCCTCCTCACTGTCAGCGTGGGGTTCGACGCCTCTGGGTACCCCGGACAAATCCCGGGCTCATTCGACCTCCTGTTCAAGCGCACGACCGTGCAGGAGATCGAGCAGGCGTACCCACGCGGAGAGTTTGCATTGGAAGCTACGGAGGTACTGAGCAGGCATTGGGACTTGAAGCCCGACTGCTTGCTTTCTCATTTCCCGGGCGGGGTACGTGTCTTCGCTCCCTACAGTAATTCAACAACTAATCGTGCATGCCCAGCGTGAGGCATTTTTCAAGATTTTGCGGGTGGAGCCGATTGTCCCGGGAGATGGATAGGTTTGCTGGTACGGAGTTGCTTGGGAGCAGCACTGTCGTCTGCCTCATACATGATACAGAGCATGTTATGAATGTTGTCACTCGTTTCGCGTACACCAGTGACCCTGGTTTGGTTCCAGCGGGCAGAATAATCCGGCGCAAAGCGAATGTGATCGGCATCGACGAAACTACCGTTGTTATACCACGGTCCACCATGCCATTGCACTCAACTCTGGTTTAAATACTTTTCGAACACGTGAACGAGCTTGCTTCTTCTCCAAGAAATTGCACGGATAACGCCCTGGAAGCTACGTGTCACGGAGGGAATCCTTGCATTTTTTCCTTGTTTAAAAATGCATCCCGCCAATGATGGTCAGGCTGACACAAGGCTGACAGGCCCAAACCATCGGGTCGAGGATTTTCTCCCGAGCCCAAGGGGGTCCAAAGATAAGAAAAAAGGATATCACCTACAATTTTTTTTTCCTGGTCCTTTGGGCGGTCAACCTACCTACCCACCGTGGGAAACTTCCTTTTTTGGGAAAAGTTATCTCCGGCAGATGCTCCAACTTAGCACTCGAGCTCCTCATATAGTTTTACCACCTGCGGCAACAGTTTTGAGCATTTTCTTGACTCATATACGAACTTCTGCCAATTGGTTTTTGCTGCCTGTTTACTTTCTGCCGGTGCAAAGCACAACTCAACCAGCTAACGTCGAGTCAACATTAACTGGATGGTGTCGACCTGTGCTATGTATGGCTGAATACACCTCTGCTGAACTTCCCCGGGTTAGAATTAACTTATATTCAAGTCATTCAGCTGGAAATATACCTTGCTCCTGCCGTGTTGTGGCTCCACTACCGCAGTCAGGACCTCCCCAAATAAATTCTGGAGGCGGTCAATCCCTACAAATGTGATCTGAGCGAATCCGTCTGATGGATTCCTTTGCCTGTGCGAATTTCTGGAGCTGCGAGATCACGAATGAAAATTGGCCGCGCTCACATGTGTTTGGTCTCCACATTTTTGCCAAAACATCACCAACCTTGTGTTGATCTACCTAGCACACCGTGTAAACATCCCTGGAAGTTGTAGAATTGTCCAAACGCCAGCCATAGGTGCGCCGGACGATTAATACCTCAAGGTGGGTCGAAATAAAAGTGCATACATTTTTTTTTTTCGGCAGTCGGGGACCAACCTACCTACCCTACCCCATATGGGCAATGCTTATCCTTGGACCCCCTTGCCCGAGCCACCGGATTTTCTAGATCTGCAGCCAAACACTAACCAAGCACCCGACCCGAACCCATGCAGACGGTATTTAGTCAATTTAGTCAGTCGAACTCGAACACCGATCATGCCAGCTTCAAGTTGAGGCACCCAGCGAGTGATGTGTCAGCCTCCCAAATCGGGACCCGAACGCGCGCTTTGACACCGACTCCGCAACATCGATGTTGAGGAGAAAATCCACGGCAAATTGCCCAGAGTCCCGAAGCGCGCCATTGTGGATGAATCGAACTTCAATTTTGCCTTTGATGGCAAATTCAATAACATGCCCCCCCAACGCCTAGGCCGATTTGATGGGATGCTTCCTTGATGGCCGCCTGGCGAAATGGCATCGCGTCTGACTACGATTGCGGGTATTCTCTTAGCTTACATAATCAGGAGATTGCAGGTTCGACCCCTGCGGTGGTCATTTTATTTTCCTTTTTTTGGCTCGGGTTTTCCACGTCCTCTGCCAGGAGGCTGGCATATTCTGATTTCCAAGAGGGAACCCACTGAGGGTGATATCTTGGCCGGAGCTGATATCCACGCTCAAATATCAAGTGATAATTATCTCTCCAGAAAATTTCACGCTGCAGAAGGCCGGCCGTGATACCATGGCGATTGTGAGGCTTTTCCGCGGGCTCAGTACGAGACGGGTAGTACAGAGAGAAGTAGTGGGTTGCGTCAGCACGCATGGCAGGTCACGCGATGTAGATGCAAATTGTCAAACCTTTGCCGAGCAAAGTCGGCATCTTCCGGACTCTTCATCCCACCTCGATTTATGCCTGCTGTGAGCTCTGACCATGCGGTGTTCTCTTAAGCTCTCCCTTTAATTTATTATACCCCAGACTGGTGTCTCGGATCTTCGCCGCAAGCCAGTATGCAGCAGTCAAGCAGTAGTGACCCTTGCTAGCCGCTTCACTACTCAATCTCTTGGGTCTCTTGGCTCAACAGATCTCTCAAAGGTTTCCGGTGGTGCTCCCTGGGGACCGCGCCAACAGGGTCTTCCCAACGCTCTTCCGCTGCCTCTCCCTCCTCCGCCACCTTAAAATGATCAGAGCCTGAGTCCTGTTCGTCCCCAATGCGGATAACTTCATGCACCTCAGAGCTGCGCCCTTGCGACTGGCACACATTCCCCGCCGCGCAGACGTCTGTCCTGTACCCCACGCACGGGATGATCAGGTGCTGCCCGAACGCCGAGCACCTCGCGGTGACTCACCACCTCTACGTCCTCTCGTGCCTCGATAAGCGACCGCGTTTGATTGACATGCGACGAAAATATCTCATAATGCCTAATCCCGAAGTTGAGCCCGACACGTGTATGCGACGGGGGCGGGACGGCGGTGATGCGATTTTTATCTCCATCGATATCGTCGGGCGCCGACGCCGAGGTTGAATGACCTCTGGGTATCGTGACTGTCAAAGTATTTTTAAACCGCAAATTACTCATGGTGCTCGTGCAGCGAGCCCCAAACAGGTGCACAGGGAGTATATATACAGGTTCATACCGTTCTTCAGAGGCCAACAAAATGGCTTTCGCCAAGACATACGATGCCTTCGTACCTAGCAGCTACCAACTACAAGACTTCATCGCTCTGGGGAATTTCATGCCGGGCTACGTACCGTTCGAGACGCTCCGCGCCGTCCCTCTCGACGCCGCCCACGTAGCGACCTACGGATTCTCCAAGAAGCTCACCCCGCACTATGCATTCCTCCACGCGATCCGGTGCTTCTACTTTGCGCTCGCCCTCCTATACAACGGGTTTCCCTCCGGGACCCCGGGCTTCCCGCAGATCGCGTTCGAAGAGCTCGCCGGGCGGCTCTACCACGCCTCCCTCCTGCACGACCTCGGTTGGTCTTCTACTCCAGAGGCCGGCGCGCACCCGGCACACGTGATGACGTTCGAGCTGCACGGCGGGTTCATGGCGTACGAGCACCTGCACGCGACGGCGCCCGACCTCGACGCGCACCAGGTCGGCGACATCGTCGAGAGCATCACCCTGCACACGTCGCTCTGGCCGTCCGGCACTTCGTCCGCGACTAAGACCCTCCTGACCGTCAGTGTGGGGTTCGACGCCTCCGGGTACCCGGGACAACTCCCGGGCTCCTTCGATCTCCTGTTCAACCGCACTACTGTGCAGGAGATCGAGCAGGCGTACCCGCGCGGCGAGTTCGCGCTGGAAGCTACGGAGGTACTGAACCGGCAATGGGACTTGAAGCCTGACTGCTTGCTCTCTCACTTTCCTGGCGGAGTACGTGTCCTCGGCCCTCCCTATAATAATTCAACAACTAATCATACATGCCCAGCGCGAGGCATTTTTCAAGATTTTGCGGGTGGAGCCGATTGTCCCGGGAGATGGATAGGTTTGCTGGTACGGAGTTGCTTGGGAGCAGCACTGTCGTGTTGCACCTCAATGATGCCTCGTACATGGCATAGAGAAATCTATGAATGTCATCACAATTCCAGCGCTCTAGACCCTGGTTTGGTTTCAGTGGGCTTCAGAATAATCCGGCGCGGAACGATTGTGACCGACATCGGCGAAACTAGGATGCTGTTTATAATTCCTGGGGAATTAGAAACCGGTTTATAAACCTGGGTAACTGGGCTGTTTATAAACATGTCTATAAACCAGGCCCTAAAACACGTGAAAAACGTCGATTTCGCGGGTTAAAACCCATCGTTGAGTTGCGCTATGCTTCCCGCAGCTGCCGTGCTGATTTCAGATGCCTTGGATCAATTGGGGAGGCCTACTTTGGCTGAATGATCTTGACACAAGCGAAAACAGGGCGGTTCGCTGGGTAACATAGATCATTAATTTCTTTTGAAATGGTCATTAGGTTTGAATTGAGTCAGACGTACAGTCGGGCTTAGCTATGCTGGGTAATATGTCCCCCAGAGCTCAATCTCGTGGTTCAAAAATCATTCAACCACATCATGTGACTGAATTAAAAACAGGCCATCTCGCCAGAAACATTGAAAACCAGAGTTTCTAAGCTGCTGTTTATAAACATGTATACAAACCATGTATACAAACCAGAGTTAAAAACAGCACCCTAGGCAAAACCGCCGTCGTTATAACACCATGCCACTGCACTCAACTCCGGTTTAAGTGATTTTCTACGCCACGCAAGCGAGTTGCCGACCTGGTGGCTACGGGTCCTTGGATTTTTTTTTCTTGTTCAAAAGTGCATCCTGCCAATGATGGTCAGGCTGACACAAGGCTGACAGACCCAAAACATCGGGTCGAGGATTTTCTCCCGAGCCACCAGATGTTCTGCAGCCAGGCACTAGCCAAGCATCCGACCCGAACCCACGCAGACGGTATTTAGTCAGCTGAAGTTGAACGCCGATCACACCACCTTGAAGTTGAATGCCCATCAGCGCCCAGCGAGTGATGTGTCAGCCTACCGGGGGACGCGAGTGTGCGCTTTGACACCGACTCCATAACATAGATGGTTTTGAGGAGATATAGTAGAAAATTCGCGGTAAATTAGCCACAGAGGCCCGAAAGCGCAACACATTGTGGATTGATTGCCAGTGCAATTCAACTGTCCGACCTATTATCAATTTGATTGGCAAGGCACTTGATGGCCGCCTGGCGAAATGGCATCGCGTCTGACTACGATTACAGGTATGTTTCTGTCTTACGTAATCAGGAGATTGCAGGTTCGAAAACAGAGGCCGAGATAGAGAGACAACAGCACCCTGTGGATCCACAGGCCGGAATGGCACCGCCGACCACATCGACTGGGCCCAGTCTGTGGATCCACAGGACAGATTGACGTTGATTATGTAATCGGGAATCAGGGTGACCCATCACAACTAGCCAGCTCTGTTACCCCGGCCTCTTTTCCCGATTCCTCTGGCGCCCAACTTTCGCCCTGGAGCCCAATGGCAGGCGTAAGTCCAATATCGATGCACAGGCCGTCTCGCTAATCCCATCTACAGTCGCGTAGCAAGGCTGCGGAGGCACCGGTGTGTGATATATTTCCCGCGCACCACCCGTCGACTGACCACACAGGTTCCTGCACCCCAGCCGCCGCCAGCTGCGTCGGGAACACGCAAGCTGCTAAGGGGCTCCAATCCTGCTGTAAGCACTCTCTGCTCTTCCCCGCATTTTTTAAGAATATGCCCCAGGGAAAAACGGCGCCCACCGCCAGTGCCCCAGCAACCTCAGACACCGCTAGAGCGGGCGAGGGCGAGGAAGTATGAAACCTCTCCTCTCTGTGATCTTGTTTGACTCCACCTGTTCAGGACGATGTGAACGGCAACAAAAAGCGTGCCAGCGATCGGAGCAGCTCGCCGAAGTCCAAGGTGTGTACCCCGCACTCGGCCAACAACCCATCTAAAAACATAAACAGCGCTCCCGCAAGGACGAGGAGGAGAAGGAGAAGGAGAAGAAACCGACGGTGAAAGTATAAATTTCTACAGCGCTTCGCGACACGATGCTAATTGTTTCCCCAGAAACCTCGGCAGACCAAGCCCAAGACGACCACCGCCACGGCACCTCCCCTGCCAGTAAGATTCCCTTTATATGCCTCCATCGAATGTCGGCTCAATAACGACAGACCCATGTCTCGATCGCGGCGGATGCGCTGCATAGCCAGTTCCTCGCGGATATTGCACTTGCTCGCGCAGAGCGCGAGGCGCATCTGGTCTCTTCGCAGATCCAGGCATATTCTGTGATGGCGTCGCTCGGGAGCTGTGTCATAGATCTGGTCGACCTGGTTACTTTCGAAATGCAAGGACGCCTGGAGAGCGCAGGGATACTCGCGCCGGGCCAGGAAGTCCATAATTTCGTCATCCCCCCGGTGCCATCCAGTCGGCCGAACCCCCCGCCTTTTCGGTCGCTGTGGTTGTCGGGTGGTACCGTGAGGGGGCCGTTGGACGAGGGGAAGGTGGGCACGGATGACCCTGCCCCCGGGGGGGACATGCTCGAGGGCGAGCCCGCAGTTCCCTCCGATGAGGATGAAGAATGAATACCGTGTATTGTACCCCCCCTCCCTCGCATCGCACGCATCGCACGCCTCGCCTGACATTTCTTGACAATGATTGGCCCGTATTCCCCGACGCACTTGTATGGCTCGCAGCTTTCCCGCATCCCCGTGTATTTCTTGACCGTAGAACGTGTGCTTTCTCGCATCCCCCTGTATTTCTTGCTCGTAGAACGTGTGTATTGGCGATAGCATAATCAACATATTGTTCTTTGATATTTGCGATTGCAGGATAAAGTGGGAAGCTGTCCGCAGCATACATTTGACGTTGGTGTATGTAGTCCACGAGCCCCGCTATGTTCCTTAATGCGACCGCCACGGTTAAAATAAAAGTCCGAATTTTCATGGACCGAGGGTGAATTTCAAGGTTCGTACAGGAGGGAAAGCCGAAAAATGCAGGTATTTAAAACTTAGCTACTCGTTCGCGATCCCCAC